CTGATCATTTATGTATACATTTGTCTATATCTATCTCGATTCGTTTTGCCTGTTACAAACAACCGTTATGTGAACAAAGTTATAATACCCTTGTGCACAAGTGCGCTCGGGTATAAAAATGTTAGTAAATACTTGTTTACTTAATTAGTTTAGTTAACTTCAATGATTTGAAAGGTACTCGGCTGAAAAAAACTGTATTCGTAATCGGAATGCAATCTCAACCAGAGTCGATATAGTAAACCCGACAAAGAAATTGAAACGTATGTTGAAGTCGGACTAACAAAATATATATGTACTAACAAAATATATATGTATACAAATTTCTTTTGTTTGAAAGGAAACTGTGGACACTAGATGGCAGAAAAACTTGCGAATTCTTGCAAATTAGCGTTCGTCCAGAAATTTGCAAGCTTATTTACTTGATAGAGAATTGGAAGCATTTTATCTTTCTATCTGATATTTTGAGTGATAATTCTCGCTGGATTTTCAACGAACAAACCTATTGTGTTCCCTACAAGAAAAGGACTTTTCAGACTGACCGATTCTCAATACACTCAAATAAAAACCAGTACACATAAATAACGCTGTAAAAATTTCCCTTCAATTTTAAGGCAGTAAAACAAAGACCTTAAGTTAACATCGACCGAGGCCATATATTGACAAGGGATGCAAAATCACATTTACACAAAAGAACTGGTCATATTTTTCAGAAATCCCTTCAATTCTGATGTAACATATGATGCCAAAAGGCTGCTATACAGATGACCGGCAGATGTCTTGTAGGGTTCTCAGAGAGTTTTGCTTTACATGGATATTTGTGCTCTTTTATTTTCATTTTGACGCATTTCAGTGTTGGTTCTTTTAATTCAAGTTGGCCTTCGGTTTTTGGAATTTAAATAAGTTCTCAGCAAAAAAGTTTGTTTAAAAAAAGACATAAGTGTACAGGGGCACCGAAATTGCGCATATGGAAACTGTGCATTTAGACATTATTTCGGTTTCAACCGAAACTGTGCATGTATGCTTTATTTCGGTTTTTACCATATGCATTATTTCGGTTTTAAACCGAAACTGTGCATGTATGCATTACTTCGTTTTTCTCATATGCATTATTTCGGTTTTCAAACCGAAAGTGTGCATGTATGCATTATCTTCGGGTTTTTCATATGCATTATTTCGGTTTTCAACCGAAACTGTGCATATATGCATTATTTCGGTTTTTTTATATGCATTATTTCGGTTTTCAAACGAAAGAGTGCATATGCATAATTTCGGTTTTTCTAATATGCATTATTGCGGTTTTCAACCGAAACTGTGCATATATGCATTATTTCGGTTTTTTTCATATGCATTATTTCGGTTTCAACCGAAACTGTGCATATATGCATTATTTCGGTTTTTTTCGTATGCATTATTTCGGTTTTTTTCATATGCATTATTTCGTATGCACAGTTTCCATATGCACAATTTCAGGGTGCCAAGTGTACATAGTGATTGAAAATATCAATTTTTCCCTTACCTTAAACCTTTAGGAGTGGGCAATAATGATGTTTTGTAATTAAGGCAGAATTGAATATGCGCTATCTGGGAAGACAATGAGGGGATTCCCTTAAACTCGTAAAGTCTTAAACCGTGTAAAACTCGTAAGTTTACGAGGTTTTTATGGGAACGCCCCCTTTGTGAAAAGGTGTAAGTAGGTG